ATTCATTTTATTCGATTATAAGTATGTCAGGGATTTATATAGATCATCTCTCGGGCTAAGCTAATTTTATATTTACATGCGGTTTGTGGATCTCTCATGATTATCAGGGATTAGCCGAAGGAGTTTTGCATGATGTATAACATAAAAATTTGTATCACATGAGATCTCTCTAGTTCCCTGCCAGTTCCTCGATAGTTCCACGACACTTCCCTGGCACTTTCATGGCACTGAGTGGTTTCTCAAATCACGGGTGATCGGCCAATCCGATTCTGTATAGCTAAAAAAGAAACGTCATAACTCAGCCGTGAGGCGCTTTGCTTGGCGCAGTGTTTATTTTTAATTGCCGAGGTGGAACACCATGTCACCAGGGCGCAGTATTATGATCCCAAAGGTATTTAGCAGTGATCGTTAACGCATGTAGAGTAAATAATACATTGGTTAAAAATTGCTAGCCCGATATGGGCAAATCTTTTATAAAATGCTTTATTAATATATATTTGAAACACTATTTTTCTTAGTTGCCGAGGCGGGACACATGTCACCATGGCGCAGTAAAATATGGCGCAGTATTACGATCCTTTTAAAACTTCATAATCGGTATCATCTACAGTAAGATTCAGGATGAAACCCGGAGGGATAGATTTTACCCGTGCTATTTTTTCTTTGCCTATAGCCCGCAAGTGATAAGCTAATATGTGTGAGATGTCAAAAGAAATAACTTATATTTCCCGAAATCTTGATTATCATATGATGCGTATATCACATAAAAAGAAGGAATGATGGCAAATTTTATTATCAAGCTAAAGAATTAAATTTATTAATTGTTGCACTATTATAATTATTTATTAACAACACAGCACCAACTGTAGATAAAATCATCTTCTCTGCATTACGGTATACGCGGTCAAAGGTAAAAGTCGTTTACGCGCACGTACGTCTGCAATTAATATTTCACATGATGAAGGATCGTTTTTATTGAAGCTCGCAAAAAATATTCTCAATAGGACAAGAGCTCCCATTCCGCCAAAGATTAAATTAATGGATCAGAACTCGGAGATCCAGGGCACGGTGATGATGGGTATGGTCGTTTATCGTTCATTTTGGCACACATTTTTATTTTTTTCGGAGTCGATAAACATGCAGGCATCTGGTGGTGATCTTCTCGAGGTCGCTTTCGGTACCCTGCACCCTTAAATGATGATTTGACAGCCTGTCTTTTTGTTTGAGCCATCTCTATTGTCATTCGGACTGCAGACTAACATTAACAAATACATCATCAGCTTTGTAAGTCAAAACATATATAAAACAAAAAACATACAACTAACCTTTGCAGTTAGGATAGATGCCAATATTGTCAAGATTGAATCAAATTTTTCCGCCGTATCTGGTACTTCCATAAGGTCGCCACGACGAAACCTGCAGACATATCCTTTCGGATTGTCGGCATATACCAATGACATCATAAGACCTAAGTTATTGGTCAGCGATGAGCACCTTATAGATTCTTGCAAAAATCAAGTTTAGAGACATACCTTCGTGTATAATTCCGACGGTCTGGATATTTTTGCGCACATCTTTGTCCCAATTTACCCTTTCCATTAAATTCATTAACATATCTTTCAGCGTTTTGGGAAGTTTTAAGCCAATTTCCTTGAGATACTTTGTCCCATATTCATCCGTCCAATCCTTGCCCGCCTCCCCCGCCCCAAATTCATCTTTGTTACCGTTGCCTATAGTTCTGAGTATCCAATCCCCTCTACGTCCAATTTTCCGACGTTCCCCTGGTTTCCTTTTAGCTTTTTTATTTTTACGCGTTGCTGTCGACACACTCGTACTTTCCCCCCTTGATTGCAAAAAAATCTAGTCAGATCAAAAGAATAGCGCTACTTTTTAAAGGTAAAGAATTACCTGACAACAGCCACTGCCTGTACATCTCCAAACGCTTGGTCGAATATTATATTCCATACATGACAGTTATACCAGTTTTCTAGGTTTGCGTTCTTGAGATTACCGTTTTCTATTTCCCTCACCCTGTCAATTCACGATTAGTAAGCTTCACAAAAACTCTGACGAGGTCCATATATACTGTATGTGTGCAGACGGTCTCACGGTCACAAGGACAAAATAAAAACGACTACTTACAGTGAATATAAAGCAAGACATATGTAGTCTACGTCATGATGCTTCTCACGGTTGTAATTATTACCGAACATCGATTCTTTTATTATCTGTCGGATTTCGTTTAAGTTTGTCTACAATAGCAGAGAAAAGACCTTGGTGACTTATTACTATATATATATATATATTCGCTAGTAACGTGTAATTGAAATATTTATTACCTTTCCAAGGAATTTAGTCAAAAAATCGTCAACTTCATCCGAAATATCAGGTACCTCCGGAATAGTTGTGCCTTCTATCTCCTCGAGTTCTTTCTCAGTGAAATGTTCCATGATTAGCTCGTCTCCAACATCAAGGATGAAGGAATGAGTGGCACTATGTGAACAAAATTGCAACTTATTAAATTTATTACGATAATCCCTATGAACATAATCTCATATGCATGAATACTTACTGTTCAAACTCCAAATTTTTTCCGAGTTTAAGCAACTCTTCTTCGACAAACCTCCCTGATGAAAGCTTCCACATATAACTTTTGTCCATTGCCCTATAAGATTCCGCAAACTCCATTCGATTTTGTTCGCGCATTATAAATGGTCCTTTCTAATGGAAAAAGCATAAGTCCTTGTTATTATTCATAAGAAAGTGCTAAAAATTCCCAATGAAGATATACTTTGTTTTCCTTCGCCTCTTCTACTTTATCATTGGTCGCATCCCTCACCTCTTGATCGTCAATAGCATCCTTCAAGAGTAGATGGTGGTGAGAATAATAAACATTTGCAGGAATAACATCTGCCAGATATGTGAATATTACCTCGCTCTCTTCAATGTCCGCTTCGTTGTACTCATTCGGCTTCTGCCGTTTCTCAATCAGATTGGTTGAATTTTTTCCGGACGGACCTCGAAAGAAATTATCTATTTCGTCACTTTCTTCATTATCATCCTAAGACATTAAGATATAAATAATTAGCTCTATTGATCCTCCACTTCTAGACAAAAATGCAGGTACATGCCTTTTTCTGATTGCTCCTCTTTGAGACAGTTTCCTTGGGTAATCCATTATAAAAAATTCCGTCATTGATTGTTCCGTTATTTATCGTATTACCACTGATCTCAGGTTGGTAGATGTGGAACCGGTGCGAACGACTATTCCATTCTCTTGCCTTCTTAAAATCCGGTGGATTATCCTGTCACGAAAGATTTTTATGATTATTAAAATTATTTGTCGACTACCATATCAGTCTGTATAATTTCCCATCCCATCTGGTCAGCGAAAGGCTTTAACAACAGACAACCGAGTGAGTCACCTGTGCCCACCCAAGGCTTTAAACAACAGACAACCGAGAGGGTCGTCTGTGTCCCAGTGGGACCAATGTTGGATCGGGCGGATGGCCCTTGAACATCAGACAACCGAGCGAGTCATCTGTGCTCCAACATGGTTCTGTGGACTCGGCGAGTAGCCTTGAACAACAAGAACCGAGCGGGTCCTTGCCATGCCACTATTCTTCAAGTCTATATTTCTAACAAACAATTTTTACTTGCCATCGAGTTAGGGTTAGGTTTTCTGTACCTCGTGAGAAGAAACTCTGCTTTTGCTTTTCGTTTCCCTTGCTCAAGATTCGCAATTGTATCGAGACTTCTGATATATTGATCTATCATTTTTTGAAAATCCTCTTCACCACATTCCTCCAGAAAATCAGTAATGTTCCATTCCGTTGATTTACGTTCGAAGTATTTATGGATTTCGTTGGGCATGGTATCAATATATTGAAGTTTTTTTCGTTGAATAGATTATCAAACACGCTTGGACAATGATCAGTGACGAAATCGTATGGTTATACGTTATCAGTATAAATCACATGATATGATAATGTGATGCCACTGTTTGCGATTGCAGGCAATAAACTTTTTCGATGAATACAAGGGCGAAACTTTATTGATTTTTCAGATATATAACTAATAAGAGTTTGCGAGAGAATTGAAATGTACGATATGATGCTATCAAAGAGGGAGGGAGTACGCGGATCCTAGGCCATTGAATGCGAGTCCCAGCATCAAGTTATTTCT